GGACATCCAAACTGGCTAGGCTCCCACAAAGCCAGAACATGAAGTAGGATCAAAACCCAGTGGCATTGTCCTTGGCTTCTCAGCAGCCCTCATTGTCCGCCATATTCAGAGAGTCCGGTTTTATCCCATGGTTTTTCAGTCGTAGTCCAGCTGGCCTTGGTGAGCTCACAATAGATCAGCCCCACTGTCTCCGTGGGTGGGTGCACCCCTCGTAGTCCTGACTTCTTTGCTCATATTTTCCCTCCTTCTGCTCCTCCTTGGGACATTGGGAGCTCAGTCCAGTGCTCCTTAGTATTTCTATAATTTCTATACTGTGATCTTTCTGGAAAGCCCAGTACCTCACAGAACCCACATCCCACATGACCCCTTTGGCAAGAGGATTAGAGTCCCTGGCTCTGCCCCCTTTAGGCTGGCTACTCATACAGATGGAGCTCAAGGGCAGGTACCTTCCGCGCATAAAGTAGCAAACACAAGAGCCAGGATGGTAGGCTCTGTCTTCCATCCTCTGTGTGGCCCTGAGCAGACAGGAGTCCCAGACATCAGGTAGGGCCAGTGAGTTCCAGGGCACTCATCCCAGAGCGGGAAAAGCCCTGGGACAGGGGAAAAAAAATCAAGAAATACCTGGCTATACCTTCTTTTGTTTTGTTTTCAAGACAGGGTCTCAATATGTAGCACTGGCAGTCAGAAACTTGCTGTGTAGATAGACCAGGCTGTCCTGGAACTCACAGAGACCTGCCTGCCTTTGCCTCCCAAGTGCTGGAATTAAAGACAGGAGCCACCCCACCAAGCTGTACTTTTTTTAAGGATCCCACTGCCAGTGAGGTAGAACTAGGAAATGAGGGTGTTCTGCAGGGTAAAAGAGCTAAGGGAACGTCTGAGAACTCATGGGACTGAAGCAGGGAATGTGGAGCCTGCGTCTCCATACTAAACCGGTCCAGCCAGGAGCAGGACATCCATGGTGAGCTCACTGCATCCTTCCTGCTGCAGAGGTTGGGTTCATGCGGAGGAGGCAGGAGGAAGTGCTGAAGCGGCAAGCTCCTGCTGATAAAGCAGGCTCTGAGAAGGTGAAGTTCTCTTCTCGGCTCTCAAAGCCCCACCCACCGCTCCGGGAACTATTGCTAGGATTTGCAGAGCTATTTTTCTGTGCCAAGTAATTGCCAGTGATACCGGTTAAAAATAATCGAAATATGAATCCATGGCAGCCCTCTGTTGAATGCTGTGTCTTATTGAGAAACCTAGCAAAAACTCTAATAAAGCACAGAGGTGTCAGTGGGCCAGGGAGAGCAGCCACAGAGGGGGAGTGGCTTCTCTCTGGGCAGTGCTTGCCCAGGTGTCTCTATCCTGTTAAGGTGGGTTATGGTTTCTGTATGCATACAGTTATCTTTAACTGTTTGAGGCTCCAGAACCTCCTTAAGAAACCAATGGACATTATGTCTCCGAGGCAAATGGCTACCATCTGGATATGTGGCTGATATTCAGTGACTTGTTCTACTGACCTCCTAAATCTGGTCTGTGGATACAGATCACAAAGTTATTTTTTGTGGTAGGATGTCATCAAATGGGTTGGCAAGACAACCTCAGCTGTGGCCTTGTGTTTTCCCTCTGTTTTGGGGGTTTGTTTGGCCCTCACTGAGGCAATAGGGTTTATTACAAATAGGTCAGTTAGTCCATGAGGGAAAATATTGCATAAGACTATCTCCAAGGTCCCATGCAACCTTGTGATTCAGTGCTGTGAGACTCTGCATAGAGTATCTGCTTTGATTCTGGGTTAGACCATTAAAAAAAAAAAGATACATGCTCCCACAAGTAGTTTGCCTGTTTCTACTGAATATCTGAATATATTCTCTCTCTCTCTCTCTCTCTCTCTCTCTCTCTCTCTCTCTCTCTCTCTCTCTCTCCAGTCCCTTTGCTTGCCTGGAGTTTCCTATCTCATGCCCATAGTTGCCATGACAACCAATCTAGGCTGGTCTTGGTCTGTGGACCATGTAATCTAGGTGGTACGGAGCTCATCTGAGGCTCAGTGTGCAAGGACCATGGTAGCTGAGGGGGAGGGAAGGGACAGTTGCCACAGTGATGTATAGGACACAAACATGTGGAAACACCTGGACTTCTAGTTGACCAGAGAAGCAAGGGGATGTGGTTTCAAATGAGTACAGTTTCAGACAGCGTGCCCTAGATTAGGTATTTCTCCCTACTTTTCCCTCCGGGGTTCCTCAGAGCAGAGAAAGTGGAGATTCCATACCCTATCCCTCTCGCCCTGTGTAATTTACAGGACCCGTGGAGGTACAGAGGAAACAGGAATCTAACGCCATGTAGCAAGTCCAAAGAGAACCCAGGGCCCCCAAGATGAGAGATTAGGGTAAACCCTAATCTCAAGCGTGTGGGTCTGTTAGGGTCACTGGGATTGAGGAGGACAGAGTTGATGAAGCTGAGACAAGAGACTGGCTGTACTGTATGCCACTTTCTCTGTCCATGGGATGGTACCCCCACAACAGAATGGTATTCGAGCTCTAATTATCTTGGGTACCCACAATATGGTCTTGGGAAAGTTTCTTACTCCATAAAATGAAGTTTTATGATGACTCATAGGGTTTATGAAATAAGGTACTATATAATATATGTAAGAGGGCCCCTGGTACCTGGTTCCTGTAGGATCTGCTGCCCTCGGTTCAGCAAGCCTCAGTGTGTCATCACCATCTGCCTTATGTAGGAGGCTTTCAATTCATTGTTGGTGGAAGAGGATCTGGCCCTGTGATGCAAGTAAGCAGAATATGACTACATAGCCCTCAACTACAATCAGAAGTCAGGAAAGGCTCAAAGTTGTGTGAGGCAGTGAAGGAGAGCTGAGCAAGGGGGCCTTGTGTGATGCACTGGACCTGAATACATACAGAGAAAGGCCAGGCAAAGCAAAGGTACAGGGGTGGAGTCAGATCTGGATAGTAGGGGAGCAGTAGGCGGCACGGTTGCCAGGAGACTAGGCCAGAGCTCTTTAGAGCTTGAATGTTGGTCAGCACAGGCCTGTATAGCAGCTAGGCCCCAGAGATTGGGGTGGTTCTTCCTGAAAGGCCACCCAGACCACCACGTTAGAGAGCTCTTGGGGATCACAGAGCTATAGCTATGAGGGAAGGAGGACCTCCGTGCCTGCAGATCCTGAGCCCACACCTCTACTTCCTGGACAGCCCTCCAAGAACCAACCACCAGGAAGAAAGGCCCCACGCTCAGGCATGAGGCCCAGAACACCTGACAAGAACAAGCAACAGCAGCCCAGCCCTGAGCCAGATTCTGCTAAGACCCAGCCATTGTAGCCCTGGGGTCCCTAAGGAGCCTGTGGCTGGAGGAGGGGCCTGTCCTCTGCCCTTCCACACCAGATCTAGAGCAGGCTCTTTTGAACAGGCCTCAGCCTCTGTTACCTCAGGTTCTCCAGACCTCTGGAAGACGGTCAATGCCTCCCCAGACTTAAGGAGATGTCTAGTTGTCTTTATGTCCTGTGACTTTGTGTGATGAGAAATGACTTGGTTTTCTTCTCCAAGCCTCCTCGGCCCTCCATGCACTGCCCTATCCTGTCAGGGGAGGAGAAGGCCATGCCGCTGGGAGTTCTAAGGAAAGTGTGCACGGCTTAGGGTTGATCCACATTTCTGTCCTCTTGGGACTGGGGCAGGGGTAGGGTGGGGGTTGACTAAGGTCTAGAACCCTGGTTCTGTTACCAGCTTTCAGCTTGCCGAGCCTCATTTTCCTTAGTCGGCAGGGAGTAAACCAATCTAAGAGGACTTCCTGTAGGTACAAGCAAGCCGGGGCGTTGTGCGACATCACTGTGTCCATTATTAACTTTTCCTGTGCACACAGGAGTACATGGTAGACTCTGGTCCTAGTTTCGTGCTAATACTGTGCCAGACAGACTGGGCTGTGAGAACACCTTGGACATGCTTGCCCCTTCTGCTCCAAAATGCGGCAAAGCTCCCCCGTACCTCTGAATACAACAGAAGTTTGGGGGCATGAAGTAGTCTCGTAGCTAGATGTCCCAAGGTCATTCCCTGAAGATACGGAGTTTCCTGTGAACGGGACAAGGACAGGGTCAGTGGCCTCCTCCTGTCCTGGGGCTACAGAGAAGTGAGAAAAGATGTTGCAGGGCTGCTCTCCCAGAGGCCTGGCTTCCATCCCCACTCCAGCTGTGCTGTCTCTCACCACAGGGTACTGAGAGGTCACCCCTGTTTACAGGCCCCACACATCTGTTCTGAGTCACGCATTCATTCACTTAATCAGTCGTCATTCACCAAATATTCCTGAGAGCCCACTATGCGCAGAGGGCTCTGATGGCCTTTGAGGACAAGTTCAACCAAAAAAAAATGGATTCTTGAGAAACACGAATAAATGAATGATGGCCGAGATGTTAGGAAATCATGATAGAGGCTGAATGGTGGGGAGAGTCGGGGTGCCATCCTTAAAGGAGCAGCATTCTCCTTCACAAGAGGTTGAGGGGAGCTGGGTTTGATGACACACGTGCAATCTCAGCATTCAGAAAATATTAAAGCATGAGGAGATTAAGTTCAGCGCTAGCCTGGTGAGAACTTATTTTAACAACAACAACAAAAGAAAGTCTGTGGTGGTACACAACAAACAGGCAGATCTCTGAGTTCGAAGCCAGCCTGGTCTACAGAGCGAGTTCCAGGACAGCCACGGCTACGCAGAGAAAGCCTGTGTCTTGAAAAACAAAAACCAAACAAACCAAAACCAAAACAAAGAAAAATAGAGAAACTCCCATGCAAGAGTTGTACGGGCCAAAAACCTTGGGGGAAATAGCCTTGATCCCTTTCTCTCCCACATACCCACATTTAGCCAAAGAGCAAGTTCTAAGGGCTCCAGTGTATACCATGGCTGACCATTTCTCATGGCCATCCCCTCACCGCCATCATCTTTCCACTGGATTCACCACTTTAGCCAATGACCCCAAAAATGCGCCTCCACATAAGACTCAAAGGGACCTTTCCCCAGGGGAAGGCAGGTCTTCCTGGCCTGCCAGTGTTATTCCAAGTAACCAGTCCCTTACTTGAGGCCCACAAGGCCCTCCGTGCCATGCCTACCCTTACATCTCTCATCCACTTCCTGCAGCTTCCCTCCCGGCTTCTCTTCAACCTTTTATCTTCCTCGCTGTCTTTCAAATACACCAGGAATTTTTGTTTCCATTTTTTTCCTCCATGTTTTTTTAAATGTTTATTTTGTCTGTGGGAGCTCAGAGGACAACTTTCAGGAGTCAGCTCTGCCATGTGGGTTCTGGGAATGGAACCAAGGTTGTCAAGCTTAGTGGCAAGTTTGCTTAGCCACTGAGCTATCTTGCTGGCCCCTCCTTAGTGCTTTCAAGTAGCTGGCATCTCTAGCTAATTTGCTGTCTTTCCCGTTTGAATATAAACTCCACAAGGACATGCGTGTTTTATTTTGTGTTTTGCTAAATCCCCCAGCGTCTATCCCAGCTGACCTGACCCATTATGAGCAATGGGGGAGGGGGCTTTCTAGAGACTTGGTGTTTAAACATCAGCTATTTCCACAGCACCTAGCCCACATCCTTGCCCACATCCTGAAGTCCCCACTGAGGGTGGAGTGACATAGGGAAATGACCTGGTAGAATAAAGTGGGGGGGGGCAACAGATAGTGGACATTCTACAGAGAGAGATGGGGGTGTCAGAATCTCTTCGGGGAAGTGGCAAGAAGGCTCATCAGAGGAGGATGAGCCTTGAAAGCCTTTAGCTTGTCCCTGCTCATTGGGGTTGATGGCAGCCCCAGCACTAGCCCAGGATGGGTAGGCTAGCCTTGCAGTCACATGGTTGTGTCTCTAGTCCTAGTTTCCCGGATCCTGACTGTGGAAACAGAAACAAGAGTGATGCCCCCCAAACTCTGTCCTGTGCTATGTGGGGATCAAAGTGTGGACTCCTCTGCCCACTCCTCTCTCCCTCACAGTCTCTTCTCCCAAGGTTACCTTTCAAGGTCATCAGGACAGGAACAGTCTAGCTCTCATTTCTACCTTCATCTCTCTTCTTCTGCCTTTCCTCCAGCTAACACTACCCCACCAGGCAGAGCCCCAGACCACCGCCCCCTCACCCTGGGTTACATCATTTCCAGTCATGGGGGGATATGAGAACGTAAAGTCCCGCAGCATGTCTTTCCCTGGCCCAGTGCCTACAGCTTCATTCCTCAAATCGCCTCAAGATATTAGTCAACAAATATGGTCAAATTACACAACCTATTTCCAGTACAGAAACTGTCAGAAATGGGATTGTTTGCTTGTTTTAGGAGTTCGAGCAACTGAAGATATAAATGATTCCAAACCGGCCTCTTTCCCCACCTCTCCAGTAGGAACTGACAGGAGCCAGACCTCACAGAAGGTTACTGACATCAGCAGCCCCCCCCCCCCCCCCGTCTGCCCAGCCCACTCTCTCCCTCATCTTGCCATCCCTGGATGATCACTGGTCTCTAAGCAGTGAACGACTTGAGCCCCGGCATTTTTGCAGGGTAGCAAAGGAGGAAATGGCTGAGTAGGAGGGGCTCAGGGTTGATCTTGGGGATGGTATGACATGGCAGAACTCCCTCTTTTCAGGAATCACTGTAGGTAAGGCTCTGTACGTCTCCGCTTTATCGACGGATGCCAGAATGGCTGTTGCCAAGGCAGCAGAGTATTCTCACTACAGAAGAGGATGGTTGGACTCAGGGGATGTGAAAAGAATAAAAAAGAGTGAGAGAGGTAGAGGTGGTACTAGGGAGCCTTGGGTATTCCAAGATGCCAAGCTAATGTTTAAAGGGACCACCACCTGGCCATGGCAAAAGACGCTTTAAAGATGGGAGGGGGACTCGCAGTGAGTTAATTCACGACATCGTGCATAGATAGTATTTTACTTCTCAGAAACCGACAGGTGATGTGCTGCGTGGGAGGGAGCGGGATCCAGACTTAGAGGGTAGGAAGGGGCACTGCCTCTCTTCTGATAAGAACAGGTTTTAGCCAAAATTCGAAGGAGCGATCTTTCCTTTAGCTGCGCTGTCTTCTTCTAAAGAGAAGCAGAATTTCAGGGGCTGTTTATTGAAGGAGGAAAAGGGACTTGAGATTTGGGAAATAAGCTATCCCATGAGAGAAGACACAGAGGAACAAAGAGGATACAGAGAAGAGGAAGAACTAAGCTAACACACCAAATATCAAATGAGGGAATGAGACAACCATGGCGGAAGGAAGGTCAGGTCCCGGGGGCAGGAGGCATCCGGAGCAAAGGAAACGCAGGTGGACAGAACAACATGTGAACTAGGGTTTCATGAAACGCTGAAGGCTGCACTACAGATACTACACCAGAGATGAGGGCTCAGGGTAAGCCAGACATTTGGGCTGCAGCAGTAGACATCAGTAGATGGACATAGTATTGCTCAATTTTGTTAGCTAAGCCGGAGATGAATTTATATGCAGTGGAAAAATATCAACAACAACTGAGAACTGGGTAAATCAGTCCACAGGTATCCTTTCCCAAATTGCAATTTCTAGAGAAAGTAACATTCCCATGTGTTTGAATCCGGGAAATCTTGATTAAATTACAGAATGACAAATGGATAAGAATAAAAACTGGCATGTCTACGATCCAAGCACTCAGAGGGCTGAGGCAGGAGGATCTCATGTTCCAGTTGTTTGTGACACTATTACAAGTAGTCTGTGGGATCAGAGATACTCTCTCTTTTGCTTGAACTAGGAGCTTATTCCAGGTAGAAGCTTGAGGATTTGTGTGTCCTGTGGCCACCTCTATGCCTGGTCATGTTCTACAGGGATGCTACTCAACAGTCCTTTGGCCAGCTTCAAAATGCTTGTTTCCTACATGAACTCACAGTCTTGACTCTACCTCTGAGCTTCCTAAGATCTGGACTTAGGGCCTCTGATCACTGGTTGCCTGGCCAATCTCTGCACCCAGCTCTCTTCCCTCACTCCTTGGAGGCATTGCCTCTTGTCATCCCTGTAACTAGAACGCACACCCATGCCTGCCTTCCTGAGATAAACGCATGTGACACTTTATTTTCACAGGGACAAAGTTATTTCCCCAAGTCCTGAGTTGTCTGCCTTGTATTTCCTGGAGGCCAGGATTTCTAGCTTTCTTTGGATCTTTAAGGCCAGCTGAAAGTCCACTGCCCTTGTCAAACACGTCTCTGCCAAGTAACCTCCATTCTCAGCACTGTGCTAGACATGGTCTCTCTGCTCCAGTCCCTGTCCTAGAAAGACTCTCAATCCAGCCCTGGGATGGAGAAAGTTATCCTGGGATGGAGGAGAGTATCCTGGGCTCTGGTCAGCACCTGGTGTCCAGCATTCAGGCCTCAGAGCCCTTTAATCATTAACACCTCCTCTGGACGAGTATGGCACTTGGAGAGCTACACTGATGGGATGGACATATCCAGGATCTTTTTCATTGGTTCTGTCTCTGCTAAAGGATAGATGCTAAGTCTCTTCTGAGTCCTTAGGTTTCCAAAGCCCCGTTACCTATGAAGCTAGTATTATAAACCCCTGTAGGAGCGACAGACAGCAAGAGAGCTTCAATGACTTTGACAAGGTCATGTGATCAAATGGAATGGGAACCCAGATTCTTGCTCTAAGGGTTTGCCCCTTTGTTTTACATCCCAGCCCCTCTTCTCTGTCAACCCTGGAATCTGTTTGAACCACCCTGTCTTGTACTGTGTCTCTTACCTTCTGGGCTTACCTCAGCGCAAACTGTACCCTACAGGACTGAAGAAGGTAGCAAGAGAGTTTCCTTGGGGGAAACTAAAGATGGTGTGTGGGAACCACAGGATCTACTGGTTTCTACCCCAGACCCTACAGGGCAACTTTCTCCTATGTCCACAGTTACCCTTTCTCAGTACCTTCACCTGTACCTCTAATCTCCTCCACAGATACATTTTCCCAGATGCAGTAGGGAACCATATACCTTATCTCTCTGCAGAAAGCAAGAAGAAAAACTGGTGGGATCCTTTCTGTGCCCCCAGGGCTCAGCTCACAGACACCTCCCCCTCCCGAGCCAGAAATAGACACACTCTCTCCCCTACCTCCCTCCCCTAGCACACACTCCACCCCTCCTCCTGTTTGCTCCCCGCCTTCCCCCTCCCCTTCTTCGCCGGGAGCTGCAGCCTGCAGTCTCTCCACGAGCTGGAAGGAGGAGTGTAGTGAGGGCGCTGCCCCGGAGTGTGCGGCCCTCGCACAAATCGGGCCACCCGGGGACCTAGACGAGATCCCAGCATCACAGCACGTCCCCGCTTCGATGGAGCCTCCGGGCTTCCATCCTTCCTTTGACTGATTTACATTTTTTAATTTATATTCCCCCTGCCCCGCCCCTTTTCCTTCGATCCCGCCCCCATCGCCCGCTATTTCCTCGCCTTTTCCTCTTCCCGGGCTTCTTTCCCTATCCTTTCCTGCATTTCTTTCCCCTTCGCCCTCCGCTCGCCTCCTTGCTCCCTCCCCTTCCTCTCCCCTTCCTCTCCCCTTCCTCCGCGGTTTCTTCCGTCTGACCCCCCCCCTCCGCCCCCTCCTCTCACTCCCGCCTCCTTCCCCCGCCCCGTGCCTGCAGACGCGCGGATCGTCCATGCGCTCCTGGCAGGCAGAATGCTGGGCAGCAGCGTCAAGAGCGTGCAGCCCGAGGTGGAGCTGAGCGGCGGCAGCGGCGGCGACGAGGGCGCGGACGAGCCTCGGGGAGCCAGCAGAAAGGCGGCCGCGGCGGACGGCAGAGGCATGCTGCCCAAGCGCGCCAAGGCGGTGGCGGGCGGCAGTGGCAGTATGGCCAAGGCCAGCGCAGCTGAGCTGAAGGTCTTCAAGTCCGGCAGCGTGGACAGCCGTGTCCCCGGTGGGCCGCCGACCTCCAACCTGCGCAAACAGAAGTCGCTCACCAACCTCTCGTTTCTCACGGACTCCGAGAAAAAGCTGCAGCTGTATGAACCTGAGTGGAGCGATGATATGGCCAAGGCACCCAAGGGTTTGGGCAAATTGGGGCCCAAGGGCCGAGAGGCTCCTCTAATGTCCAAGACACTGTCCAAATCAGAGCATTCGCTCTTCCAACCCAAAGGAGGCCCTGCGGGCGGCGCCAAGACCCCACTGGCTCCACTAGCGCCCAGCCTAGGCAAACCCAGCCGGATTCCTCGCGGACCCTATGCGGAGGTCAAACCTCTCAGCAAGGCGCCTGAGGCGGCCGTGAGCGACGATGGCAAATCGGATGATGAGCTGCTTTCCAGCAAAGCTAAGGCGCAAAAGAGCTCAGGGACCGTGCCCTCAGCCAAGGGCCAGGAGGAGCGGGCCTTCCTCAAGGTGGACCCCGAGCTCGTGGTGACCGTGCTGGGCGACCTAGAGCAGCTGCTCTTCAGCCAGATGCTGGGTAAGTCTGGCTGCCCCGCCCCACCCCGCCCCTGGTTTTCTCCTGGCCCGCTCGCTGCTAGGAGAGGTGGGGAAAGCGAAGCTTCCTCCCTTTTCCCCTTACACTGACCACTGACCAGGTTCGGAGGGGCATTCCTGCCCAGATGTGCAGAGCTGGCCTACCTCCAGCTGTGTCTGACTAATGCTTGTCTTAAAGATGTCGCTGATAGGAGCCTGGGCTCTGCTGTGGCCTGTCGGAGGTGAGGGTGGACAATGGGGGCAGGAGGACTTAGGTTCTCAGAAACCATTAGCTCCCCTGAATTTTCAAGTCCAGAGTCCTAATATGGCAAAGCACAGGGAGGTTGGTAGAGACACTGGCTGAGAAGTGGTCCGCGCTGGATAATACAGCATCCAGAATTGCTAGGAGAGCATTGGTAAGGGCCCAGATCTAGAGCACATATGTACGGAGAGCAGATGTGAGGTCCAGTTGGTCCTTGGAGCAGAGCTGAGCCTCCACTTCCTCTATGAATCCCGGGTGGGAGCGTGAATCGGATTTCCCGGGTGTGGGGGACCTGGCAACAAGAAGTGTCTGGGGCCAGGGAGGCGGGCTGGTAGCCAGCTGCGCGCATCTGGATGCGTCCTTTTCCTCAGCCCCAAGCAACCACCACTCCCATCCCCCTAAGTGTTTTAGGGGAAGGTCTGGGCTTTTGCGCGGAGACTCCCGAGAAGCCTTTGCCCTTTGGCTAATGAAAGCCAAGCTGGCGGGAAGGGAGGAACAAAGCTTCCTCGGTGGAGGAAGCTGGAGAGCTGCTCCATTGTTCTCCAAGCCTGAACAGTCCGAGTAAAAAACCCGGAGCCAGCCCGGGAACCGTGCTTTCTTTCTGTAGAGCCCCTGTCCTCAAACAGGGATACACGGAGGATGTGCCTGACGAGGCTACAGTGCCTCGGAAGCTTGCACCGGCAATACAGGGACTGCCGGAGGTCGGCTGCGAGCCACCTTGAGTGCACAGACTTGTTGCAGGGAATGGTTTGTGGGTCCTCAGGCGCCAGAACCCAGGGACCCCATCTTCCTGGGTACCTTGCTGGCCAGTACTAGCTTTGCTGGGGGCTGGGAAGGGGCGTGTCGTGAGCGTGTGATGGGGCGGGGCCAAGAGGAGGATAGCGGTCCAAGGGACCCGATGGACTGAGGGAGAAGAGAAGCAGATGCTGGCCCAAGGCCCCTGGAGAATGCTGAAGGAAACCTGTTCAGACTGCTGCAGTCTTTCTGAGACATCCCCGCCTGTGGTGTGGTGAGGGTCTGGTGAACAAGGATGCCGCCTCTGACACAGATGGCTTTTGCTGAGGCAGTCAGGAAACTGGACAAGGGCAAAGGGAGGAAGACAGCCTTATCCATTTAGAAAGCTGCCACCCTCCCCCAAATCCGATTTGATAGTGAAAGGTTGGGGGGATGGAGTGGAGTATGCAGAGGTGATGGGCAGAAGTGCCACCCTCTTGCCTGTTGTTGGGTCTCCCAGAGGCCCTGCCCTCAAGGAGTGTAGATAGACAATAAGGAAAACCAAGTGCTTGGCACTAGGAGGCCTGTGCTTTCGAGAGCGACTGGGAAGGGAGGCCTCTCTGAAGGTGGTCACAGAATTGTGACGGAGGCGTGAGGCTATGAGGTCTTGGAATGAACATAGCCTGAAACAGTGAGAGGTCTGAGGGAGAAAGGGGCCAGGGGAAGAGGCGTGTGGGGACAGGTGGGGGGCACAGCCCCATTTTCAAGGTCAGAACTTGCTCCGTTTGGGTGGGATAGCTAATCAATCCCTCCATAGTCAGGGTATTCCCTACACTGCCCATCAAAGGCCTCTTAGTTGCTTCTCAAAAGGGGTCACCACAGACACTCTGCTAGATGGTCCTAGAGCTGGCTAGGGGCAGGAGGGGAAGAGAAGCTAAGCTGTGGTCCCTTATTCCTGCTCGGCTATCATCGCCCCAAGCATGCTTCCACGAGACACCTCAACAATTAGGGGGTGACAAGAGAACTCCTCCCTTTCTTGCTGGACAGATGCTAGGCCAAAATCAAGGACTTGTTCCCTGAGCTGAAGAATGCATTTCCCCCTGAACCCTCAGGTACAGCTCTTCCATGGGAGACCTAAGGGGAGGACGAGCCCACAGGTGTGGACGGGCCTGACGAAGGTGGTGTGTACTGGGCCAAGTGAGCGGTTTTAAGAGTAGGCCTCACTGAGGACTAAGGCACTTCACTCTCAGCTGGGGGAGAGAGGTGGGAAGTCGGCAGAGGTCGCTGTACTGCCTCTAGCTGAGCCGCTCAAGCGAGGGTGGTGTCAAGCCCCAGGGTACACTCTCCGGCATCAGATGATAGGCGGGCATTTGGTGTCTAGGCCAAGCCTTTTCCCCATGTGAAGATGAGGTAGAAGGCACACTGACTAGGAGTAAGGGGGACGGTAGAGCTGACTGGCACCCCAGAGCCTGTACAAGTGTGCCTGCTGTGAGGACAGGCCCTTGGTGTAGAGCAGAGTGGCGTCTGGAGAGAATCCTCCTGTGATATCTCCCCAGGGCTAAAGTCATGGAGTTTTTGCTCTTGCCCATGAGGCCCAGTATCAGGTTATGCACATTCCCCGGTGCCATCTCAGTCCCAGCTTCCCAAGCAAGTGGCAGGGAGGTTTGGCAGCCCCAAATAAGAGCCTTTCTGGAATAAAGGGGATGAACTGAAACCTGATCGCTCCTTTCCCCAAACTCAGCTGGGGCCCAGATGATCCAAACAGGCTCCCTGTCCCTTCCCTAACCTGAAAGCTGCCAAGTAACTAGGCTTCCCCCTGAAACGTAGAAGGCCAAGGGTGAGCCCCAGGGGAAATCAGCCAATTCCAGTACCCTAGCTTGTCAGTCCCTATGAGATAGTCTTGACTCTGGAGGAAGGCCACCAGGCCAGCTCTGGGGCAAAGCAGAAGCAGTATCCCAAGTCCTTGTCCAAGAGTCCTAAGTTCTAGTTCCTCCTCTGGGACTCAGTTTCCCCATGTATGAGTGGAAGAGACCCCTCCCATGGCTCATCCTATAAGGGTGGGGGCAGTGAGTAGACCTCGTAAGCAACGTGGGTGGATTAAAGAGTGCTTATATTAACAAAGAGAAGTTAAAATTATAGTTATATCCTAAATAATACTAAAGATTAAAGCAAAGTCAGTCCGTTGACCCCCCCCCATACATTCAGCTTCCCCCACCGTTCAGACCTCCAGGAAAGAATAGACAAAGTTAAACAATTAAGATGGCCCAAGGTCAGGGTGTGAAAGAACCCAGGCTCATGGAGTTCCTAGTCCCATTTCTTCACAGAAGGTGTCTGGCATCCAAGGAAGGGTTTCCATGACAACAGTTCTCTACCCTCAGAAGCACAGACCAAATAGAATTGAGGAAGAAAGACAGGAAGCTATCCATTTCTAAGGCACCGGGGCTTTGGGGATGGGGCCTGGGAAAGGATTGCTACACGGACTTGCTTTGAGTGCTGTGGGATGACCTGCTTTCCCAAGCACACTTCTCCCCTCTTTCTCCAGGACCTTGATGGGGAGTGGGGATGTGACTCTAGGTAACCTAGATAACCACTGCCCAGAGAAGGCTGTGTGTGTGTGTGTGTGTGTGTGTGTGTGAGAGAGAGAGAGAGAGAGAGAGAGAGAGAGAGAGAGAGAGAGAAAGAGAGAGTGCGCGTTCACCCAGTTCCAGAGGCTCCACCCAGAGGCATGGTTGGTGATTCCAGGAGCTCTATGAGATCTGGAAAGAGTCTGGACAACCCTTCCTTCTGCCTTTCCTTGAATTTGGGCATTTGGGCTGGAGGGGACTTTCGGAACTGCAGGTTGGGACTTGTAGCAGCATGCTGGTAAACATGCTCATGTGGAAGAGGAGCTGATATTGGACCTTGGGATTCAGGGCCTCCTGCCTTCCCCTGAGAAGACTCTTTCTCACATTCAGGATGTTTTCATGCAAGGCTAGGCTTGGGTCTCCACAGAGGATGGACAAGAGGTTCTGTTCCTGCTCTGGTTGTTGCCTTGCCCTGATTGCTGAGACCAAAGCTGGTCTCCTCAGAAGACAACCTGGGTTCTGTGTCTCAGAGCAGGGAAGAGATGGATGAGGAGGTCTAAGGGGTAGACTCGCTACCTTGGGGAGAAGGTTCAAGGGGAGCAGAAGTGCCCAGAGCTGCTCTGGTTCCCTCAAATCACATCCAGGATGATATTCATTCCCATTACTGATGGACTCCAAGCCCAGACCACAAGCCTTTCTAGTCTTAAATGAAGCAGGACTAAGTCACCTAGGGCCCTGGTGGAGATTTTCTGATACTTTCTCCTTGTTTCACCCCTGTCTGTCCTGTGCCCAAGATACAGTCAGCCACTGACTGCCCTCTATCCTGAGCTACCCAGGAACTTCTCCCCCGCTATCTCAGTCTTGCCCTTCCCCACAGCTCTCTCTCCATATATTCATTTCCAGTTCTCTAGCCTCTGACCTTAGGGCCAATGACGCAGGGGGCTTCCTGGAGCTTGAAGGATGAAACAGCGGAGTGAGTCTCAGGGTGCACAGCTGCAGTTCAGTGCCCGACTCCAGAGTCTCCTCAGACAGGCGAGAGTGGGAATCTCTTCCTCTCTGCATAGTGCTTAACCTTCCCTGGGATTCCATAGAACCAAAGAGTGGAAATTGTCTAGATGAGCCACCCACTGAAGGCCGAAATTAATCCCTTTGTGGCATCAGGGGTAGGTTGGTGTTCTGTTTGCATGCTCCTGGTAGCAGAGGGCTTACTACCTTCTGTTCCCGGAAAGCATTCATTGTTGGAAGAATTTTTCTATTATAAGTTTTATTATTATTTCTATCTTTCTGTTCAACCAATATTCCTGTCTTCTAAGAATTTCCATCATGGTCCACATTTGCTCACTGGATCCCTCCAGATGAAGGTAACCTGCCTTCCACAGAGGTTAGGGCGCCTCTTTGAGCTGCCTCTCTTCTTTCTCCCTTTGCCCTGCCTTTTTCTCTTTCTTGCCTGTGTCTTTTCCCTTT